AAGAGGCGTGAGCGAGAAAATGTTGAAGGAAGTAGAAAGAAACAATAAAGAAAAAAAAATCTGGAAAAAGTGGCGGGAAGAACAAATGCCGGAGAAAGAGATAGAAAAGAAAAATCGAGAGAGGCTAAAAAAATAGAAATACAGGAAGCGTAAATGAAAAACGAAAGATTTGATAAAAAAAAATAAATGATTATGAAGAGATAGCAAATAACCATTCAGAATATAAACGATAAGAAAAAATAGAATGAACAAGAAGTGTTAAATACGAAAGAGAATGAAATAATAATACAAAAAAACTAATAGAAATCTTTTTAAAAAATCCCAAAAACTAACAAAAGGTTGCAAAATAAAAACGGCAGCAAAAAGCACGATAGAAAGTCTTATAACATTGACGTCAGAGAAATTTGAAGAAAGTGATTCTGTCAACATTTTCTATCCTCATATAGCATCCAGGAAGTAGATTTCATCAAGTTTCCTTCTTCCTCGCTTTTATGTCTTACTAGAACCTCGAAAAGTCTCTCTGTATTTTGTATTCGGTTTTACAACCAATCTAAGCTCAACGATTAGGCTATAAATATTTATAATCAAATAGAATGTACCCAGTTTAGCTCACACTCAAATATCTTGAGTAGCGACCGAGTTGGGAGATTGAAGTGGAATCAATGTCTTCTCTCTACGAAATTCGAAAATAACCATTTCCAATGCAAATAGTCAGTAGCCCATTCGTTGATCATAAGATGTGAGCAGTCTAACTTGAATGATGACTCATGTCACAAAGGAATGCTCACAACGATTACTCGCTCATTTCCTAGATGCATATGATGAGTCTGTTCTGATTTTCCTTTCTAAGAACTTGTCATATTCTGCTAGCGTTTCATCACTTTTTTCCTTACTACTCTCACAATTCATCCCTAAATTAGTCATAGCCTTGTACCAAACAAAGAACCAAAACGATGTCTAATTCCCACTTGGTGTCTGCTTCAGTCATTCAAATATGAGAATATCTATATGCGCAATACTCTTATCTTGTATGTGTGCCTGTATGTATTTGTGTTCCTGAGATACAGCTTAAATGATACATAATACCCCAACCAATTTAGGAGTATATTGTACCTTGAACAATTCCGTGTGCAGTGCCAAATTTCATTAAAATTATACAAGTGGTTCTTGAACTAGTGTCGTTTTTTCTGTTACGGTATTTTAATAGGAAATTCAATATTTGTTTCCGATATACATTCTTATATCAATCCGCGTATATAAACAACCACTTGCATATTATGTTCCAAATATTATGTATTTATAAATAATAAACATTCATAATACATTATAACAACATACATTTGAATATGCATAACACAGTATATTTAAAGTGAAAAGAAAATAGGAAAACTGTATTATTAGCCGACGCGTTTCGTCCATTTCAAGGCAAAAATTAGAAAAATTAAAAAAATTGAGAAAACGCTATTGTATTCATATTGTACAGTGAATATAACAATATGAATACTGTAGAATTCTAAATTATTCTAGTTGCTAAGGACATTTTGTTTGTTGTTAATAGTTACTTAGTTTTCAATAAATTCATTTCGTTTACGCCTTGAAAAGGTTCACATTGGACGAAGCACGTCGGATAATAAGTTTTCTTATTGTTTTTTACCTTTATACATATTGTCTTTTTCTTCAGGTTAACTCCGAGAACTTTTTAACACATATATATATATATATATATATATATATATATATATATATATATATATATATATATATACACACAATTCACATGAGTTTTTTTTTTATAAACTACTATTTGAAAGATGGAGAGGCATATGTGTTACATGACATGATAGTAAATATATAAATAAATAGATGCACGCTGATTTGTTGCCGTTACGTATTTTGAATTAAATGCGAGAAAGAAACAAGTATGTATAATAAAAAAACGTACTTATTATTTTGGAAAAGACTACACCTGTTTTAAACTATTATTCCAAATTTTCACGCAGTGTGTTAACTATGAATTCCAGTGGAACAATAAACCTTCTTTTACGGTCTTTAAATACAAATTAAAATATTTGTAATTAATAACATTGATAATAATGTTACCTTACCATATGTTATCATGAACTGCATTTAGAGTCAATTGCCTCGTCCACTGCGAGGAAAGTTGGCTCCCTGAGCCGCGCTAGGAAGTTTTTCTCCCCTGAGTCGATCCTCCAGATATACAAATCCACAATTCGCCCTTGCATGGAGTATTGCTGCCATATATGGTCTGGCGCCCCTTCTGTTTGCCTCGGGGTTCTTTATAGGCTCCAGAGGCGGATATGCAATATGGTTGGCCCTGCCCTGGCGTCTCGTCTACAGTCACTTTCTCACAGACGCGCCGTCGCCCCCCTCATGGAAATTGCTCCGAGGAGCTGCATTCGCTGGTTCCCAGACGTCATGAGTTCCAGCGCCTTACGAGGCTGGCATCCCGCTCTCACCCCCTCACTGTCGAAACTCCTAAATGTAGCCGTCTCTTCTACTCTAATAGCTTCATGTCTCGCGTCTCTCGCCTGTGGAACTCCCTTCCCTTCTCCTGTTTCCCTGTGAGCTATAATCTCCAACTATTCAAATGTAATGTCAATCGACATCTCCAGTTGCCTTAATGTATCCACTACCCTCATCCTTCCTTCTATCACTCCTATCTGATCTTGCTATTTCCTGTAACCCCTTGCATCCTAGTGGCTTCCCACCTTGCTTGGGGTGAAACGCTTAAAAAAAAAAAAGAATAAATCCAACGAGTGTATGCTAGGTCTAAGGATCTAAATTCTATATTTCAGAAAAATTTTGGGTAATTAAATGAGAAAACGGAAAACATTCTACATAATGTTTTTTTTTTTTTTTTTTAAACGAACTTCCATCGTTATTTACGAATGTGTAAACACAGCAATAAAGGCAAAAGTAATTGTGAACGGAAACGAGATCGGTTGAACTGTTGCGTCTAGAGACGTCGAACGCCAGAAATTTTGAAATTTAAAAAATTAGCTTCCCTGCAACTTTAACTTTTTTTTTTTCTTTCTGTGCATAATTATAGGCGCTGTTTTTATTTATATTACCGTTTTATCTGTCTCAGTTTTGCGATAAAACTTGCAGGCCTAACGCCGGACAGAAGAGGCTCACGAGAGTGCACGAGGAGTAAGTCACTTACAAGACTCTACAAAAGTCTTTCGTGTGTCACATATGTAAAAATGTATGCAGGAACGAGGCCCGGATTGCAAAGTCAATTGAGGGCCCATGGCCGCCTTCTATAAAGAATTGACAGTTATATATATATATATATATATACACACACACACACACAGGGTGGTCCGAAAGTCTTGTCACCATTACGAAAAAGTAATGAGAAAATAATACAAGCACATATACTGAATTCACTTTATTCACTTTCATTGACGCTGTCACGCATCGCGAAGGTCAGTATGACCACCGTCATTTCATTTCGTGTCATAAAATTGTATTATGTAGGGGTTAAAAGACTTTCAAGCGACTCTCTCTCTCTTATATATATATATATATATAAAATGATAACTGCCTCTTCTTTATAGAAGGCGGCCATGTTCCCGAAATTGACATTTGTATACATTGAATATGCAATAATAATAACTCAATGAATACAGTTTATACAAAAAAAAATCTGCAAACCTTCTACAACCCTCACCGTGTTAAACAACTCGCCCAAAACTTTTAGATTTCATCAGTAATATAACCTTAAAAATGTCCCCTTCCCGCCAAAAAAGTGGTCCAACTTCATTTTATTTCTCGTTGATAAAAGACACAGGGGTGTCCGTAAATTCCAATTTTTAACATATTTTCTCATGATACTTTTATTTTGTCAAAAGCTCTACAATGCTATATTATTCTTTATTTCAAAGTTATTATTTTTGTTGTTTTTTATCTCTCGTCTTTCTTCCATCGACCTACTATATCGACTCACTCATATATATATATATATATATATATATAGACTTTTTAATCCGACATTGTTTCTTATTGATATAAACGTTATTTTTAGTGGATACAAGTATCGAGTTGTTATTTTTGTATTTTTTTAACAGTGAAATTAATGACAATCAGCCTAAATCGACAAGTCCTACTCAAGAAAACTGTACCCCTGATAGGAATCGAACCTATATCCTCTTTTTCATCAGGGAAACGACATAGGGAAAAAAAATATGTACTACTTAATATAACATTTATAGTAATAAGAAATATATATTATTCCAGCAATAAGAGCATTATTTTAGACTGATGAAGTCATCTTAAAGTATGAAACGTGTTATACAGAACTTTTTCCATTTTAGTCGCTCGTTCTTTTTCTGTTAGTTAAAGCATTTCTGTATGGTCATTGTTTTTGCATTGAAAACACTAAATACTTTCTTGAAGCGTCTATTTGGTCTGTTTCCTGATATATTTAATAGAATATTTACAATTACAAGTTCCATAATCCATTAGTGTTGCAAGTGCAATTGTTGTTATGGATGCACTATATACAGTGCAACAGTGTGTCTATCGCAAGATAGATTGGCAGCGACCATTCCGCTTCAGGCTGGTTTAGAGCTGTCGTTCTAGACTGGTTGAACACCAAAGGGTAGAGAAATTATTCTACTCTGCGATTTAATCCATAGAAAGTGGCGATTTATATATTCCATGCGAAATACACTACTTCAATAAACAATATTTTATCATAATCTAGTGTCAAGTTGAAATACCGGTTGTCATACAATTGCCAAAAATTAAACAACGTCGAGCCTGGTTAGTACCTAAATAAGTAATTGCTTTTGAATACCAGGTTCTGTAAGTTTGGATGTGCGGGTGGTGCAATAGATAAAGACTAAGAATTTGAAATCGGAGAGCCGTGTTTCAATTCCAAGTGAATATAACGAACCTAACTGGAATTGGAACTCGGCTCTCAATTAACAATTCCGAGCCTTTATCCATTACACCTTCCGCACACCCAAGCTTACAGCAAGTATTCCCAAGCGGTGACCCATCTACGTACTGACCAAATTCGTCGTTGCTTAACTTCGTCGATCGTACGGGAACTGGTGTTTTAACGTGATGTGGTCGTAAACCGGAACTATTTGAATAATGAATGAACTTGGCTTATTTTCTGTAGTTTACCGGACAAACATTTTTCATTTAATAAAAAAAAAGAAAAGAGAATAAAAAGTAAATAAAAAAAAGAAAAAGAAAGAATTAAAGAAAAAAAAAAAAAAAAAGGTTTGAAATTTTCGACTTAATTTCACTCATACTTGTAATGGCTAAGTGTTTCTCAATTTCTCATCGAATGTACTGGAAATCTCGATAATCACTTCAAGATTTCGAATTCAATCTGTCTGGTTAAACTATCAGAAGAAAACTGAGGACCATGAGAAATGCAATGTTTTGCTTGCTTGGTCTCAAGGGAATATTTCATTAAATCTGTTGCTTTTCAGGCGAGGATAATATACTGGTGTTGAATGGACAAATCTGTAGATATGTTTTGATGGATTGCTGGAAAATATTTAATATATAACTGGCGTACGGACGGATCTACGAGGTATCAAAACGGAGATTTTGTAAGTGATATGTGTTGATGGTGGGTATCGGGTTGAGCTTAAGTGTTGTATATTGTCGCTTGGTGATGTCACAGGAATTTCGAAATTCTTGATCTGCATACTATTTGTGAGATGTGGATATAACCGGAAAGCTTTTTTTTTTCATCCCATTTTTTTAAAAAAGAAAATAACACTTAATATTATGAGATATTCTTTTTTTTAACAGTGAAAACAGGAAATTTTCAAACAAAGAAAAGAGTGAAGAAATGTTATGCAATATCAGTCTATCTCTATGACAGTGAATAGTTTTTAGCGGAGTGGTTATTTGCTTTGTAAAACTCATCTATATAAATAAAATGGTGGGGAAGTTAGTATATACGTATTTGGACACCTGAAAATTATTCACTTATATATTTCTCATGTTTACATTTTCTTCATGTTTACGTAGGTAATATATCATAAAATTAACAAGAAAAAAGGCACATCAATGTAAAATTAACAATAACGAAAATAATAATAATGTAAAATGTCAATTACGAAAAATAACATAATAACCAAAAATGAACTATGGCGAGGAAAAGACATAATAATCGAAAATGGACTATGACGAGGAAAAGACATAATAATCGAAAATGGACTATGACGAGGAAAAGACATAATAATCGAAAATGGAAAAGGGACATAATAATCGAAAATGGACTAAAGGAAAAAGAATAATCGAAAAAAATGGACTATGACGAGGAAAGACATAATAATCGAAAAATTGACTATGACGAGGAAAAGACATAATAATCGAAAAATTGACTATGAAAAAATTGACTATGGCGAGGAAAAGACATAATAATCGAAAATGGACTATGACGAGGAAAAGACATAATAATCGAAAATTGACTATGGCGAGGAAAAGACATAATAATCGAAAATTGACTATGACGAGGAAAGGACATAATAATCGAAAATTGACTATGACGAGGAAAGGACATAATAATCGAAAATTGACTATGACAAATAAAATAAATTCATAATTTGGACAAAATATCAGGTCACTGTTGTAAATTAATCATAAAAATGTTGTTAAAGAAATATTGTCAGTTTCCATCTTTTGGAATCTTCGTAGGATATGATGTCATCACAAACATAATTCATTAGTTCACCTTCTCGAAAGGGAAAACTATAGAAGTTGTTAACCAAACTCAAGAAAGACATAATTAAACAACATTTTTTTTTAACCAATATCACCCATGCATCGCAGTAAAGCAACTAAGGTAGAAGGTGTTACAGGGTGTAGAAGAATTAAGAACAGAAACATTAATAATGAACGGGAAGAGAAAATCAGGAGGACAGTAGATAGCGATTGACATTGCATTTAAATCTTTGAAGATCAAAGTTGGATGGAAAGCATGGAATCCGGAAGGGTTTTCCGCAAGCTAGAAGTGCGAGAAAATAAACTTTTAGCATAGAACTTACGGCTGCATCTAGCCAGCTCAAGTGTAAATTGATGGGACCTCAAAGACAGTCTAGTACTGCGGTTAAATTTTTAAAAAGACTAGGTATCATAGCGAAGATCTCACCCGAACATAAACGATTTATTTTAATAAGCTCCTTCATTATAAGTAACTTAATTCCAGTCGAATCCATTACATTCAGTTACGTACTAATACCCTTGGGAAAAGTATGAATCCTCTTCTTCTCCCCCCCCCAAAGCTATGGGTAAATAGCAGGACAGACCCGGTTCTATAGCCTTGGATGGTAACTGGTCTACTGCAGAAAGAAATGGCAACCTATTGCGGAAAAAATCTGCCTCGTCAGACATGTATCAAAATATACATGATCGCCTAAGCGTGTATCACGCATTGCACATAACTAACTAAAATTTGACTAAAACTTAAACAATTACCCTACCGACGTCAAATTGGATAAAGAAATCCCCAAAATAAATAAAAGACGAAAAATTAAAGAAAAAGAAATACAAAATAAGCTATTTTGTATTGTATTTAAGAATTCTATCAATTCTATTACTTTAGTTACGTTGAAAAAAATCCTTCTTTTCTATTTATTAGACCCAAGCGTAAAAGAATTAAGCAACCACTTTAACAATTTGAATAACATTTTTGCGTAAAAATGAAGAAAATCGAGAATCAGTTAAAATCTTATCTTGCTTGTAAACAAAAAAAATATCATGTAATAAAGATTGGAGTACAGGGTCATTCTCAAGATGTTAAATACACCTCAGTCTAATTGGATGGATTATTCTGAAGTGGAATAAGTTTAACACCACCAAAACTCTTCTTTGAGCTGGTGCTCCAAGAAGATTTCTTTACGAGCAATTCTAAGAATGCCAAGCAAACTCAATGATCTAGAGACGAGATTAAAGATGAATTAAAAGAAACTGAAAACTCGGTTAATGGAAGAATTATTGGAAATGACCTGAAGAGGAATATTTAAAATCCCTTATTCTATAGAAAAGAATGTTGGGAAAACGTTCTCTCCGATAAAACTCACTCGTGAACATTTAGAGAAGAATCATTTTGGGGTAGGATATTTTTTTTGTAAAAACTAATCTTGGGAAGAATATATAAGAATTAATGAAGTAATCAATAAAAAAATGGAGTAAAACGTTATCAAATAACTAATAAAAACACCTGAAGATTGCGTTGAAGCATGAGACAAAGTGTCGTTGCTTGTTGACCTCACTGTCCATTTTTATATTTACATAAGCTTTTTCTTGTATATAGCAATTTTATCTATAAATATAACATACCTTAAAATATATTTTTTTATCATATATACACACACAGGGGGCATGGATAAATTGTCTAAATTACGCAAAAATGAAAATAACACTGACATTTTAACAGATACATTTACTAAAATTACACAAAAATATCTTGAAATACTAAAGAGTAAATCTATTCAATCGAATCGCCATTGTCTTCAACAACGGCCTCCAGACTACTTAGGAATCTCCTGCAACTCTTCTGGATGGTCTCCCTGTTTAAGTTGATGAATGCTGCCATAACCCTTGCCTTCAGTTAATCTTTGGTATTACAGGGAGTTTTGTTGGTCCCTTGCTCAACTGCTCCCCACACATAATAATCGAGGGGGAAGTTATGTAGCTCGTTGTAAGGAGTGAAATGGTCGCAAAAATTGTCTGATAGCAATGACTGGGTTTTCCTGGTTGTGTGGCATAGTGCAGAGTCTTGTTCCCAGACATAGGGACTTCCAGCAGCTACCCTCTTGATCCAGGGCAGCACTGCCTTCTCAAGCATTTGTGTTCAGTCTGAAGCTCTCTGGGAAGATAAGTGGAGGCATAAGGTCGCCATCACTCGTGATCATTCTAAACACCTTCGTAATCACAATTAGACTCGCCCATCTCTTTCGGAATCCTCTACATTGTCCTCAGATTGACACCAAATACTCTGAAAAGTTGCTCAACTGAACCTACTGTAGTATGTAGTTGACAAAATAAAAAACAAGGCACACGCAGAAAATTAAAAATGGCGACAATTTACCTGTCGTGCCCTGTATATATCAATGTATTATTTAGTTGGATTGATGTGAGTTTGTGACCCTAGGTTTCACGCGTAGTCTCACCACAAATGTATACACACGTTTCCAGTGTCAGTTTTTTTAATTTTAATTTAGGTCAGCGAATCGGTAGTGAATTATGCATCGAAAAATAATTCATATTTATCTGTATCTCATTAATTTAAACTGTTATTTAACTCCTCTCATTAAAACTTCTCTCAGTTAAATTTTAATCCCCACTTTCACCTTTAGGTCTTCCTGTTCTTTCTTCTGTTACACCTCTCTCTAGAGCTTTTATAGATTTCCCTCTCACACTTGTTTCCCACTCCCACACTTATACTCTCACTAAAATTTTGCTTTTTATACCCGGAGATATATATTCCGATTTTTTTTTTAATTTGTAGGTCTGATGAATTGGATCGTGATTACGATTCCAATGTAATAAATTATAACCATGGAGTATTAGTGTTTGAGCTTTTTCATTATATTCTTACCCTGTCCTGGATATTGAGTTCTATCTGGATTCTATCCTCTTGGGAATTTATTTATATCTATCTATCTATCTATATATATATATATATATATATATATATATATATATATATATATATATTATTTACATTATTCGGACTATTGTCCTCATCTTTGTCGCTATATTTATCACAACGTTTCGGCCGTTGTACGCTCCGGTATCCTTCAGGTGGTTGGAATTTTGAACTGAACCCTTTATTTCGCTCACTGGGGTAGACTGTTCTAGTTCCACGTGATGGAAGTCAGTTATCTCCTGCTAATTTGATGGAAGTCAGTTATCTCCTGCTAATTTCCTTCTGGAAGTTCTCCACTGCCTTAATTGAACTCACACTTTTTGGGTCCTGTCACTGGATCTAACCAACGCTTTTATCCACTGGGTATGAATTTCTGGGTATTATAAACCTAATGTCTTTAGCAACCATGAATAATGTACATAATACCTCATCTCAGAAATATAGACACACACACACACA